GGCAACTGGCCTACGAACTGGGTTTTCAGTATCCAGACAAGCTAGACGACGACTCCTCGATGTTGTCATCGACGTTTTCGTCTTGCTGAGCGTGGATAGAACCCCGCGGTGTTTGCCATCCACTTCCGCGTCAGTTGTATCCACGAGCGTGCAGGAGAAAGATCGTCCAGAGCGGAGCCATGTCCGAGCACCTGTATTGCGTGCTGTAAAAGTGTGGAGCGGCGACAACTCTTGCTGACTGCCCTATCGCATGCGGTTCCATATAAATATTGTAATATAGGTTAATTTATCGTTTTGAGGATTTTCTTTTTACAGGTCCAGGACTCAAAGTGCATGGTGGAGGGAAGTCCCGAGACAGAGACGGAGAACATCATTAAAGAAGCGAATAATTATGTGTCTGTGTGTTAGTGCCGGCTATTATCTGATTCGGTCCTTAGAGGACGAACTTATTATGTTGTCTGAATTTGTGTTTAATCGTTTGGCATATGAACCAGCCGAGAGAGCTCGTAATGACTCCAACGATGCGCATGTGGTTTAAAATTCCGGCTGTGCCATCAGCAAGAGGGCATGTCATAACCCAATGATTTTTAGTGCCTCAGCACATTGGAATTTTCCCGCCACGTGGAGCTTTCTTTGCACGGTGGATTTCTCAGCTGCAGAGAGAAAATCCCGGTGCAAAGAGTTCCCGCCACACACATGCAAATTAGTGTCCCACTTTTGGTCAATTCTAAATTATTCCTACATGGCGGCTAGCAATTGGCTCCCTAGCCGTATAAAAGGTTAGAGCAGTTTCTGCCCAAGTTGGAGGACTCCACAACCATCTCGTGGGGAACTCTGAGCGCGCTGTGGAGCCTAGCAAACTCCGCGTGTGTCTTGGAGGACATAGGGGCCTGATCAGCTCTTAGCCACTCCCCGTCATAGTGGAAAATTTGACGTATCCCCCATGTGAAGTGCTCATGGAGTCGTGCATCGACGACTCATCTCGGTTCGGTTCGGTTCGGAAGAGATCTCACTTGTGTTTGTCTGTGTGCAACTGCAACTCAAGCAAGTTTCCTTCCTGCACTGTGACCATCGGCAGTGTAAGTAAAGCTTTCTTTGTAAAACCAATACGCTTCCATGCCTAACTCTACTCCGTCGTGGAAAAACCCCACCTGACAGTCCGGGCTACTGGCCATAGCCTTAGACCGCCCTCGGTCCCGACACAGACCACATCAGCACAAGTTGTGGGCATCCATCTGCTGCACCACGCATGCAGTCCAGGAAGCTTGGCTCCCACCTCAGCTCCCCATTTGCAGGCTCCTGTGTTGCACCGTGCCATGTGAGTGCCCCATGTTGCAGGCTCCACTAGCACTGTGGACTGTGTTGTGCCACACTACACTGCTCCCTGGGGCAGGAAATGGAAGCAGGAAATGGAAGCCAAAGGAGGGAAGGGAACCTCAGAGACCCTGGCAGCTGCTGGAGCAAAGGGGAAGCCTGGGGGACACAAATTAACCCCTTCTGGGCCTCATGCGGCCCTCAGGCCACCATTTAGATAGTGCTGAATACATTCCCTGTCAGTGCAAGGGCCATGACATGACTGTCTCTCCTGTCTCTTCTCATTTAAATATATTGAAGACTAAAATATTTTATGTCACTAATATTTTTGGATTTGCTATAGGAAAACTGGCTGTTGCTTAGCAGACGGAAATATATAGGGAGGTTAGTTTAGATGGTGTAGTGGTCCTGTCCTGCCTTATATTCTATGGAAGCTATGAAATGCAACACAAAGGAAAGCATAAATTAGGTTGAATAAGCCACATCCACTTCCCTAATTTTGGGGAGAAGGTATGTGGTGACATTTTTGACACCTTGCTTCATAGGCAATTAAAAATAATAAATCAGCTCTTTGAGGCCTTTTCAAAGAAACTGCATTCATGACCTACCAATTACTCAAAAGCCCTAACTGGTAGCTATGATAGGCAAAATAAGGACAAAGGGTGATCACAAGCTCTGTGGGAAAATTCTTTGGTTCCTGTGATTTAGCGACAGCTTTTCAAAATAGTTGCCACTCTTGAATATACAATTTAAATTTACAAAATGTAGACTCACATTTTTGTATCTGTAATAAATTTTGTGGATGAAGAAGGTATTTGCCTCTGTACAATCTGATTGTGGACATACTGCAAGAGGGACATTTACACAACTAATGTGAATATTTAGATGTTTCATAAAGGTGAAAATACTGACTTTCATCTTTAACTTTGAACATGCAAACAAAATGAATAACTTAATAAATACATTAAATATACATAAATTTCACTGATCTCTAGTCAATTAAAATGTATTCCATAGATTTTCCTGATATGAATAACTACATAGTATCACTGGACACACTATCTATACTTTCAGCTTTGCTCCACATGCTTATAAATGAATATTTACTATATACTATAGTATATTTACTATACCCCATCATTTAGCAAATACTCAATGATGAGCCCCCAGAGATCTATAAATGAAGTCCTGTATCCTTCTTGTTTTCGCTGGCACAGCTGCTTGTTATAATACTTTATACGATCCATAGAGAAACAACCCATCTTGCTTTTAGTCGCATGTTTCTGGGCCTCACAAATTTGTTCATCCAGATCTCTTTGTGACCAATAAGCATCTCTGTACAAGTTTGCCATGGTCCTGGGGAAAGACAAGAAAGAAAGGAAAGAAATTAAATGGAGAAAAAAAAATCTACAGAATCTCTCTCCCCCATCACTTTGAAAAATATATGTATTGTAACATGTACCACTCAATTATTCTATAGAAGTTTCTGGGGGCAAATATCATTTAAGATTTTCTATTACATTTTAAAAGTGATTCACATTTCCTTTTCCAAGGAACTACATCACTATGGAGGATCAAATCGTTAAGTGCGAGCCTTTGGTTTGTGTAGGTTGGATAAGTTAGCATAGAAAGTTGAAGTTTATTTTCTGTGTTTAATTTTTCAGAGTAAGAATGAATTGGTTTTGAATTATGACAGTATCGCAACAGCATATTAGTTATGCTTTTGGCAGTTTTCTAATAAATCTCTATTATCAAGCAATTTGCATAATCATGTTAATATGGATTAAAATCTCCGCAAACTTTTGGTCCAATTCTTCACAAAATTGTGTGAGGAATACGCAGCATAATTACATTTCTTTAACAATATTTTCTTACTAGAATTGTTCATTTTTCCCTGTATTTAATTAATACTATTTTCCCTGACAATACTTCCAAAACAAAATCTAAGTCTGCATATGGATTTGACAGCCATATGAAATACTGGCTTTTAAAATCAGAAACTTTTGTTTTCAGGGCAAAGTTTCCAGAATGGGTCCCTGCAGGAATGTACATAAGACACTTTCTGAGAAAGCTGCTAAAAAAGGAATCTGAATTCACAGGGCATGTTCAATGGTCACAGCATGTCACCTTGGACCACCTGTGTTCCTGGCTGCTTGAGCCTTCTGCTGTACACATGCAATTGACTTCCTCTGGTTTGTCAGATTGGCTTCAGCCAAACTGCAGACACAGTTATTACCCTGAACTGCTTTTTGATATTACTACTTCAAGGAGTTAGTGGGATTGGTCTCTCCTACCTGCACTGACTGACTCCAGAACTTTTGGTATTAGCATCACACAGAACGATTAGTTAAAAGCCTTGATCAAGTCCTTACCATGTTGTGCCAGACAAACCACTTATGTATGTTAAACAGTCTAAGAGATTTAATTTCTTGAGAGCTAGTAGACTGCCATATAGCCCTGTCATCGATTTCAGTCCACCACCTGTTGTCATGATTGCTACTACTGGGACCTGTTTGACAAACGAAGAAAAAACATTACTACAAACCAAATTCACATTAACATTCAGAGTTAGAAATGGACCTAAAATAGACCATGGGATCCAATTCAGTTCCAAATGTCATAGCTAAAGCCCCTCTCTTCATTAGACCAGAAAAGAAACAGCAATCCTAATGCATCATTCCCCAAAGTTTGAAATGAGACATGGATCTAACTAGAGGCTCATCCCCATCTATTAAGAACAAATGAGCATTAATGATTTTAAGTCGAGGTGCTTTGGTTGCTGAAAAAAAAAAAAATGTTAGATTTCCCTGACCAACACCATCTTCTCATTTGCTTTCTGCCTTATTCACCATTGCATTATAGTTTTAAAATCTTCATATCAAGCTATGAGAAAATTCAAACAGTTCCTAGACTGTTGCTACTCTCCCCTCAGAAACTTTTTTCTCAGGATCAAAATTTGCTTTAAAAAGGAAAGACAAAGATTTGTGTGAGTGATATCTTTTACTGGAACAATGGTACCCTTCCTTAGTACAGCAGTAAATGAAAGCTCATGCATGTCCCTCCCAACTATACAGTTGGGCCAATAAAAGGTATCATCCACAAAAATCCTTGCCCCTCACATTGTAGTTGTGATGGTCCAGGAAAAATATCACCCCAACACCACCTTTAAAAAGAAGAATACTTGTTCTGGGAATTCAGAAGACTACAACAAGGAGCATATATTTTTTAAATATATTTGTTGAAGAGCTTAACCCTAACCCTAACCTCCCCTAGATGGATTTAATAAACATTTTACAAATGTTTTAAATCCAAAAATGAATTAAATGCTTACTTAATTTAATTAATGTGCATTGACACCTATCATTTAAACTGATTATGAAATGGAGCAGTTGGAGCCAAGCCTTAACTGGAAACAGTATGCACATTTCAAAATTGTCAGATACATAAAGGCAGGTCTACACTGGCTCAGTGGTGCTCTCCAAGTTATTACCAAAACAAAAACATCTCCCACTCACTCCTACTCCAAACCCAGAACTGAGGTTTGGAGGGCTGTCCAGAGACAACACTTTTCTCTGCTTTCAAGTACACCAGACACAACAACTTCAAAAACAGAGTCCATGGGTGATTTCATAGTGTCCTCACCCTCTCAGATCTGGGTTTGGAGTATGCAGAGTAGGAGCACATGGGATGGTCTTATTTTTCATCAGCAGTTTCAAGACGGGCATAGAGGCAATCTAGACATTGCCTTTAGAAAGACAAAGGGTGTATCTGTCCCACTTCCGTAGCACTCTCAGGAGTGCCACACTCAAGTAAACCTCTTCACCTGCTCCCACACCACACCCACCAAAGCAAGCAATGAAGTTATGAAGCCATCTTGAGGGTGCCCCCTGCTGCCAGTCTCAAGTCTGCAAGAGACAGAAATATCTACAGCAGCAGCAGGGGGGCCCCCAGAGACACTTCAACACTTCATCTCTGCATTGCCCATGTGTGGGAATGGAAGCAAGTGAGCAGAAATGTTACAGCTGTACATTAACAGCATTCCCCCCACAAGGCACTGCTTGTCAGCCCTTCCTTGGGAACCCATGAGAAAGCAGGCCAGATATTAGAATTAAAATTTAATCTTTGCAACTGAAGCAAAACGTTGTCCTATAGACAAAGTAATCTTTTAATTAGATATGGGGTTGTCAACCAGGGGTACTTGCAAAGGCCCTAGGGTGTACATGTGGGTGGGCAGGGACGGAGCACCACCATGCACCATCCCACGCTGCTGTGCAGGCGCCACGCACCCAACTGGATGTGGGGGGCTGCCGCTGCTCCACATTCAGCCACGCACCACCCTTCCTGCCCTCCACCCCCAGCTCTGCATCCGGCCACTGGGGGTACACTGATCCAAAAAGGTTGCAAACCCCTGAATTAGATCATTTAAGCACACCTGCATACTGTAGCCATCCCTAACCATATAGGAGTCAAAGCAACCTTCACTAACCCCTAAAAGGTAAAGTGTTAGACCCAAATCTCTAGCTTTCTTCCTGGTTTATGGAGGTCTGAGCCATTTTTGATTAAACATTCTACACTCATAGGATGAGAGTATATGTAGAAAATTTCAGCCTAAAAGCAACAAAAAAGGCCTTTTGGAACAGCAACACTTGGAAAAAAATGTAGTTCCAAGTTCTCAGTATTATTTGTATAATAGATATCCAGACTTTGCATCCAGTTTGCCAAGCACTCAGGTGATGGGAGGGGCCTGGCAACACCCAGGATTCCAGTTCACATACTTCATGATGCTGAAGATCCTCTTGTAGTTGGAGAACATTCCTCACAGCAGGAGCAACATACATCTTCCTTTTACACAGGAAATCCTTCTCCTCTGCACATAGGTCATATCCAAAACGTATGTTGAGATCTTGTGGGCAGGAACAATGACTAGGAGAAAATATGTGCATATATTTTACATACTAATATTCTTAGTTCATTTCAAGAATTGCAACAGAGATGACCACTATACACACACACACACACACACACACACACACACACACACACACATAATATGGATGGGAAAGAAGGGGAGAATAGCACTACTGTATAATATTTTCATTTTTCTAAAAATAGCTAAAGTTATACATAGTTGCAGTTTATAGAAATGAAACCTTCTCTTTTATCTTTGAGGTTAAAACCTAAGGAACCTAATTGTCAAAGAAGCCTCCTGAATTAAAATTGTAAAATGAATGGGATGTCAAATTTCTACTTGCAATGTGCGTAAGAGAAACAGAACCACTCTGACATTTTTAAATCAAATTCATTATGGATGTGTGTGTGTGTGTGTGTGTGTGTGTGTGTGTGTGTGTGTGTATACATACCAACTTCCATCTACATTCAAAGGTTTTGAAAAACATTTCAATGTTGCTAAAAATGTCTATAAAAATATTAAAAAATAAAAATTGTTCATTTGGCAATATTTTTATCTCAGGAAATATCAGATCTTAACAGTTTATTTTAGTTTTTCATTTTTATCTTATTTCAAGATGTACCATGATTAGTTTCAAAGTGGCAAACTTTCATTAAAACACAAACAGGAAACATGAATATGAGATTACAAGACAAGGTATTTCAGTCAGTACTAAGTAACAGCTCTCTTTACGGCTATTTTTTAAAAAATTGGATAAAATAACATATTTAACTAGTATTCTTTTTCATATTATAAGCAGTTAATAGGATTAAGACTATTAATAGTGATTTGCCATGAAGGAAAAGTCAAATAAGAAATAAAAATAAAAACAAACATTACAAATAAAAACATTAAAATTAGCAAACAAAAACACACAATAAAAGAAATATTTAAGTCTAAAATTATTTTTATGTTTTCTAAACACAAACTTTCTGGAACTTTTAAAAACATTTTATTTATTTGGACATTCCAAAAAAATTAAATCCAGAATAAAAAATGAAAAATGTTAAAATGCTGAAATGTTTTGTGAAATGGGAATTTCTGTTTTGATCTATTCAAGGGTAAATACATTACCCTCTAGTGGCCACATATTACTATACCATTTCACATCCACCTGTGTATACAGAAACATTGTCTCTGAAATATATGTGATCATATTGCCCTCTACTGGGTGTTATTTATAGAGAATTTAGGGTAAAATCCTAACCCAGTTATTCAATTAGAAATTTGCCACCAACTTCAGTCATTCCAGGATTCCACCTTAGACTCTCTAGCCCTTCTATACAAGCATGGCTGTTTCATGGGTGAATGCTGTGTATTTCTTTCATGTCTACTTTTAGCCAAGAAATACAAAGCAGAATATTCCTCATGGAAGAAGATAACATGCATGTCAAATCTGCTTTAAAAGTGTTTTGAGTACAAAAAAAAAATGCATGGAAAAGGATTTCTTCCCACTCTGATGCAATTCACAAACAGGTAAGTGCATTTTCTTCAAAATTTTGGAGATTAGATCAAAAGACATTTCATCCCAAGATACCAGTTACAAATAGAATTGTGTGTTGTCTGCAGTCTGGACCTACCAGTGAGTGTGTCCATCTGATTTTGGTGACAAGCCACTGCCAAATTCTGCACTGAGTTGCAATTTCTGCTCCCTTACAAGGTGAGATTTGAATTTCATTAAGCAGTTTTGGAAAGTTCATTTTACTAATTGTGAATATTGATTTTGAGGCTTTCGTTTTTTTGTTATGCCCAAAAAATTAGGGCAGGGACGGTCCATGAACACAAATCCATTAGCTATTATCTCTGGCATAGCAGACAACAGCAGGAGCTGTAACAGTCATTGAGCAACTATAATACAAGCTTATCTATGACCAGGGATGTATAAGCTTCTTCCAAATAGCTGAACATCCTCCACCATGTCCAGTAAATTGGGGTTGCTATAATTAATAAGGGTTTCTCTTTTGATGCAATACTATAGCAAACACTATTATTTGGTAATGCTACTGTGGCTGGAAGATGAAAACACACTGATTGTTGGCCTTAAGAAAATGTGTATAAAAGGTGTTTTGTAGATGCAGCACAAGCAAGGTACATCATATATGTATAATGCTTAACTGTACTGAAATTAGTTGCTAGTTTAAAAAAAAAAAAAAAGAGAGAGAGAGAACCATAACTAAGCTACTGCTTAATATCCTAAAGGGATTTTCAACACCTGGAACAGCTGAAATTTAAGGCTGGTCAAGGGTCGTTAATACATATGGTCATATGATGGGTATGCATTTTGTATTTGTTAAAAGCATATTCTGGTTTTCAATCCAAAAAACGTTTAATTTTTTTTAACAGGTCCAGAAAGTGAGATGGGCAACATTTGGCGAACACTACCAGTAGGATACAACAAAAATAAAGGGAAAAGTTCTTACCAATCTTCTGCCTTCACATTCAAATCAAATCTTTTTTCCTGAAATAGAAGAATTTAGCTCTCAATGTGAAATGGTAGGGTTTTTTTTTTTAATGTTATTTCAACCTTGGAGGGCAAGCTTCATTTGCTTGTCAACGTAAGTGAGAAAGCCATAAAACTGAGCCCCTGTGCAATCCAAGAGATGGACACAGTTTCAAAACCACCAATTTATTTTTAACAGAATAGTGCCACCCACTGGGCACATCTACATAAGACATTTACTGTGGAACTACCTAGCTCCACAGTAAAGTCTCTGCCTCTATATGCGTGGTCCTATTAGGGCACAGGAAACTAATTAATTCTGGCGTAGGTTAATACTTGTAAATACAAGTACTATTCTATGGCGGTGTTTAGTGAGAAGCAATGCACATGTACATGCTGACAGGGCTGGCTGGGGCACAAGCATGCTTCAGTGCAAGGCTGCCTCCTGGTTAGCCCCACACTGGAGAAACCTCATGCCTCAGCCAGCCCCACCGCAGCACATTGAGCCAGGGAGGAGCAGCCCTGGGCTGACAGGCTGACCTCCCAGGCCTCCTGCCAGCTGAAGCTGCTTGGACCCAGTTCAACATGCTGCAGTCCCAGGCTCATGTGTAATTGTGTCACATTAATTTCACGTGTAGATGCACCCAGAGATTCCCAATTACTTCAGCCAACTATGTCAGTTTACCTGAGCATGCCTTCATGCACACCAGCCAGTTCTTTCCACCACCCAGTTACCCAAACCATCAAATGCAATTCAGGGTTAAATCTTTGAGTTCCCAAATGCAGTCTCCTAACTGTAAGGCTGTGGTTAAGAACAGTCAAAGATCAATTGTATATTATTAGGCAGTGCACAAATGACGCATACAAAGTAGCATACCAGGTCTCAGCATAAAGCTGCTGGAGAGGCTTGAGGGCAGTAATGTAGCTAAGGAAGGAGGGTAACTGGGGCACCAGCCCAGGGCATTGATTTAGGGAGAGAGGATGCAAAAATAGCAGTGGCTGCGCTCATTGACTTTCTCTGGTTTGTCAGATTGGCTTCAGCAAAACTGCAGACACAAATTTTACCCTGAACTGCCACCACTAACAGCACAGCTGCAGCTGTTACTCCATGCACTGCCACCACCTAGGGCAGAGAACTCTTTGATTCTGGAAGGGAATACCTGCAAATTAGTCTGAACAGCCTGATGTACCAATACTGAAGATTATTCCTGTGGTTCAGGAGTATGAAACCAGGCTAAATGGTATTTACATGTACATTACCTATAGATTACAGGGATACACTAATGCACAAATTTGTGAACGCACGTATGTCCCTCAGCATTAAGTTTAGGTAGATCTTTGTCTCTCCTGTTTAAACATTTGGCTGCAGCAGTAATAATCACGACACTTCAATCTGCATGCAGCTATTTTATTTAGTTCAAGGCCCCATGCAAATGTTTGATTTATATGCATTATTCCAAGAGAGGCAGCTGTACAAGGATAGCACAGAAATGATAAACCATACAAAGAAACTCTTCTTTGCCACAGGTTAGGATCTGAACCACAAGGACAATGCTTGCATCTCAATCTCTGCAGTCAGACTGGGCATCTGGCTGAACAGCTGAAGAGCTGTTTTAAACAGCTGGGTTGGAGAAGGGAAAAGAATGAAGCTGGGAAATTAAAGGTGCATAGGGGCTGGGAAACATGCCTCCTTCCTCTCCCAAATATAGTTCTCTCTCTTCTTTTTAAAGGACAGATAAAAAAACATCAGTACAGTGCCAGACTTTTAATAACACTGGTCCACAATGAAGAGCTGAGTACAAAGGAACTTGCCAAAGTCCTTAGCCCCATCAAGTTGTCCAGGAGCTGGGTATGCAAAAGGCTTAGGGAATTTGGTGGGGTGGTGGAGAGAGGAAATGAAGGAGATGGAACAAGGGAAGTGTCACATTTCTGTCACACCTCACCCAGTTCTATATCCTCTATTAGCAGCTGCAGGGAGACCCAGACAATTGTCAACATGGCCTTAGCAAGACTTATGCTACTGTAAAGAGAGGAGCCAGAGAAGCAGTGGTCATTTTTGCAGTCTCAGGGAGATTTTCGTTTGGGTGGGAAAGATCTAGCTCATTATTCCTAGAGTGGCAATAGTTCTTAATAGGGCTGCCAGTTAAATTGCAATTAAAGGGTGTGATTAACACGTTAATTGATTCTTGCATTAATTTTTTGAATGCATTCATCACCCACATGGCTTTGGAGCCTGTGCCTGGGCTCCGCTCTGCCGCCATCACTGCCACCTTCGAGCCACCTGGCAAGGCAGTAGGGGCAGTGCAGAGGAGCCACAGGGCAGCCAGGGCATGGGCTCTGGGCAGCTGCAGTGGCAGTGGGGGAGGGCGCACGCACAGACACACACACGAGCAGCTGCAGCATGCACATGACCAGGAACGCAGCCTAGCAGCATATAAAGCAGCGCCTTGCAGGTAAGTCTGTGGGAGGGGGAAGGAGTGTGGGGCAGGAAGCAGATTGAGGCTCCCATGGCAAGGGAGAGAGTGGGGCAGGGGCAGGGGATGGAGCCACTGTGTGCACCCCCAGGGGAGGCATGGGGGTCATGTAGCCCCTGGGTGGGCTGCCTGCTGCAGGCTGGGGCTCTGCACCCTGCTGCCTTTGCCCTGGAAGCTTCATGACCCCATGTTGTGCCTCCCACGCTGCCAACATGTAGCTCCTGGGGCAAAGGCAGCAGGGCGCAGAACCCCAGCCCACAGCAAGCAGCCCACCTTTGCCTCATGCACAGATCTGGGGGACATGTGCCCCTTATGCCTCCCCTGGGGGTGCGTGCAGCAGTGGGGAGCCATGTCCCCCTGGGGACCCTGGTGAGCCTCCCGCAGCTCCGTTCCACAACCCGCCCTGGCCCTGGGGTCCCATTCACCCCAGCCCCTTCCCCTGCCCCACTCCTTCCCTCATTGTGGGGGCCTCGATCTGCATTCCCCCCCACCCCTTCTCTCCCCCTTGCCCCTTCCCTGTCACACACGTACCTACTGGGCATGGAGTCTGTGTCCGTCTCCCTCTCCCAAACCACAGCCCCCCAGCCTTTGCTGCCCCTCACTCCTGACCCACAGTAGCCTGCATCCTGCCATGGTGTGCAGGGACGCCCCCCTCCCTGGGCTCCAAACCCCACACACACACCCACAGCCCCCTACACCTTCACAAATTCCACCCTCCCATACACACCCCCCCACCCAAACAAAATACCTGCATTATTTTGAGTTTTTCTGCACATCATTGTGAGTTTTTAGCTATGTGCTTAAAATCACCATTAATTGCAACTAATTTTTTTAATTGCACAAGTAATCACAATCAAGTTTTTTAATAGTTTGGCAGCCCTAGTTTTTAAATGATTCAGAGTTAATCCTAAAGGCTCCCAAATCGCACTTACCTCTGCTATTGTTACTTTCTCCCCAAAGGGAAGAGAATTAAGCATCACCACTGGATGTCCTGTGTCTACAGAGTAGCTACAGGTTTTCTGGAAAAAAAAAAATTTTAAACAGTTTTTAACACTGAAATAAAAAGATTATCCTGTTCCTTCATAGAGTCAGGTTGGGGGTATCACTATTATGTTTATTAAGCTGAGTTTTAACGTACAGCATTGTAATGCTTCTTCTTTGGTATCATAACATCCAGCGTTGGCTCTGTATACTTTGTATAGTGGAACACGATAGGACACAAAGGACAAACTATGGCCTCGGGTCCGAAAATAACATCCTGAGTTCCTTCGTAGGAACCTTTTACTGTAAGGAAGAGGTCTTTTCCTATAAGGAATGAGACAAAACACACAGGCAATGTTAGATTTATCCCACTGGAAATGTAAGATACTATAAACGAGTTTGAAATTTTTTTTTTAGGAGTTCTCCATATTGAGCTCTAAGAAGCTACTTAAGAAGATAAGAAAAATGATATCCCCTGTACAAAAAGCCTGCTACTCAACACAAGGACATGAAAGCTTATTTATGTAGGTATGACAGTGCTAATGTTCACTGGATACAACCACCATAAGTTTTCACAGTAAAAATTGATTTGGGTTCACGTCTCTAGTTCACTGATCAGCATGTGAACCATAAGTCTGGTCTGTATAAAAATATTCAACTTCTGCATGCAGTAATAAGTGCTTTTATCATTTCCTCACTTTTCCACACCACAACAAATATTACTGGCCTTGCCGCAATTTTATAATGAACAAAATATTGTCTTAGCTCTGTTGAAACATACTACACTTTAAAAAGTTGTGTTATTGGATTCTTGATTTAATATACTTTAACAGAAAATACTGTTAACAAAAATACTATTATTTTAATGATCTGTATAACACCCTTGTCACCATATCAGTTTAAGCAGCTGGTAATTAACCATCATTTAATGAAGCAATAAACTCACTTGATTTATACTGCTTCTTTTCATGCACCTGAACTTCCAAACAGCAAGCTTCACGGGACTGTAATGGAGAAGGAAAATAAAAGAACTCATAATCAGGGAATGTCATAGTTCAAAGTTACCCCCACCCCCAATCCTTATGCATTACTAGCTGAATGCCTGGGCAGTCTGTGGGCAGTATAGATCAATGTTTCTCAACCCAAGGGGTGCAACCCATAAGTGGGTCGCAAGAATATTTCAAAGGGTCGTGAGCTGCGGCAGGACAGATGGGCAGCAGAAAGACGACTGGATCCTTGCAGTCGGGGTAGGGGGCAAGGTACAGTTGTGTGGCTGGGCTGGCAGCCCTGGGGCAGATGTCCATGCTTGCAGGGGTGGTGCAGCTGGGAGGGGCCATGACCAGGCTACCTGGTGTGACATGACAGCCCCAGCCAAGGGAGGGGGATTGCCTCAGGGCTCTCCTCCTCCTCCCTCCAGCCCATGCCAGGCCTGGATTTGCTCCACTGCCACCTGCATGAGCAGTAGCTGCCACAGCCACTGTGCTCCAGCCTGAGCAGGATGGGGGCAAATGGGAGCCCCTCCAGCAGGTCTGGGTGTGCAGGGGGTGTGGGTCAGGAGTGAGGGACACCAGCATGGCTGGGGTGGCAGGGAACTGGGGAGATCGGGCACCAGCAGGTGTGGGTCAGGACAGGCCATGGATCTTTGCAAATGGGTCCTGGTCAGAAAAAGGTTGAGTCACTGGTATAACTAAAACCCTCATCCCCTGAAGAACAAATTGCTTGACACAGCTAAGCACTAATGCAGAAACAGCTTTGTATCAAGAGTAGTTCTTCCTTTTTAGCGATAACAACTCATATCACTGATTGAAATGATGGTGAAGATAGACGACAGCTAGATAGATGACAGCTAGATTTATCTTGTACCCCATTATAGGGACTGTGTGTGCCTATAGACATATGGGGAGGCTGCTCCAACATGCTGTAATTACTCAATTAATCGAGTCGGCTGGAGAATTAACGTGCCTCTAACAGTCTCCACATCTTGTGTATCAGTGTCCCCACACTTCAAAATATTTGACGAGCTTTAGTTAAACTACCTCCGTAGCGATTTTGAAGTGCAGGTATGCTGGTACATGAGACACCATGGCTGTTTTAATTAGAGAGGCTTTTGGAGCCTCTCTAATTAAAATGCCCCCCCCGCCCCCACCATGTGTAAGAGTGCCCTAGATTGAGCTCACTAGCTATAAGGGGGTTTACAGATGCACCATTTCCTGTTTGTAAATGGGGGAAATCACTGCACAGTGTCTGGAAAGTGCTGACACAGGATGCTCATAGCTGTTCCATTCAGTGTTTTCAAAGATGCTCTAGGAAATAGTGCAAAACTGAGAGAAATCTCAACTACTCTCATCCCAATCTATCTCCCCAGATAAGAAAGAATACACTGGCCTGCAAACCTTCTCGCAGCTTCACTAGTCCCACCTATGTTAAGAATATTGTTACAGAACATGAAAGACCACTAAACAAAAAGTTACCACAAGTACTCCATTGGTAAAGATTGTTTCAGGAGGACCCAAACTAGGAAACAAAATGAAAAATACATATTTCACAATCACAATAAATCAAATTTTCCCTTTGATGTTTATCTCACTTTCCAATTCTGAAAGTGACAGAGAAACTCTGTCAGTGAGTGGTTCAAGCTTTTTTTGCAATGTTTGCTTTGTCTGTGCACAGCTACTAATGCTCCTGCTATTCTTGCTTTGGAGATCTTCTAAACGGGAACTTAAATCTGTGCCATAATTGCCAGACCTGAATCAGGAAATTTTCTTGCAGTGCAGTGGCAGTCTCAACCTCACACAGACAGGAATATTAGTTTAACCAAATTCCTCCTCCAAGTATAGCTCATGTTATAAAATACATTACTTCCACCAACATCAATCTGGTCTGCCAGGGTATATTGGTTGGGGAATGTGATTCTACACATCTACTGTGAATGCAGATAAAATAAATAGGGGGGAAATGACCATGGTAAAAGGATAATTTATTAAATGACATCTTTAGATAATTCAGGTGAAACTAAAGGCACAGGGCATAAAATACAGTACTAGTGCATAAAGTACTGGATCAAGACTCAAGACACTTGAGTTCTATTCCTGGCTCTGTCACTGACCCACTGAGTGACTAGCCACGTAACTCACCTCTGTGCCTTAAAGTGCTATATAAGATATTATTAGATTTAGCACATCAGAGACAGAACTTATGGTCTTAAACAAGGCTGTAGGAGGCAATTCCAATACTCAAGCATTTGGAACATGAGTAATTTTGAAACATTAACAAAATTGCAACTTAAAAATAAGACACAGGAGATTTTTCTACTGCACAGGACCTCCAGCAGGCATCAAAAGGCTGATCCAAATAAAACAAATTACTAGGCCATGGACTGAGGTTGTAGAAATTCTAGCCAATGCCAGGAAAAATTCTTTACATTAAAAGTGTTTAAATAATAGAAGAAACTGATACAGAGAAGCTGTATATATTATTTTGAAAGAGAATATACTAGAGGTTGGAATCTGAGTTGTCTGGCAATTTTCCACACAGCAGTCATAGGAATAGATCTGTCATTGAAGGTTTTAGCCCTATCTATTTCTGCATCTTCTATTTAAATTGTATTTCACTTACATGGTCTGCAAAAGGAATTCCACCTCTAGCTCCTCCTGCATCTGAGGACAAAACAGAAAAACAAATGAAGTGAGTACATCACATTCTCTGCTTTCAGGTACAGTCACTGTATCACTCTGATCTTCCACTTTGTGGTATAGGGGCAATTAGGCAAGATACAATGGCCCTTGGGATACAGAAGGGCAGCCTACAGGATCTTATAGATCCACCGGGCCTTAAAGTTTACAGAAAACTTAAAGAAACTTGCACTTTTGTAATTTGCCATTCATACAGTCAATCTGCAGCTTGATTCATCTACTAACATCTTACATTCTTGATACTATTCTGCTACCCAGTAGCTGCTCTTGCTATTAGCATGGGGGTTTACTTTTAGCCTATAATTTCAACCTCCCCAGGAATATTAAACAAAGGCTGGTAACAACGATGTATTAAGTTCTTATCTCTCCATTCTTTACGTGTGTTTCAATAGCAACAAGATACCAGCAAACCTGTTTAGAGATAACACAACAGATAAATGACTTGATGCTAAGCCTTCCTCCTGTATGCCACCCCATTTCAACTATATATTACACTGTAATATAATTATTTAGAAAAACGTGTGAATAAGAAGGCCTGATCTAAATATAGTTACAAAAATTAAAGATTTCCATTCTGTATTTACATTTTAAACGGAAATCTATATATTTAGAGGGCACGGTAAATACCCATATTGGATTTAGAAATCTCATTTTGGTACCATTGTTCGAAAGTTGGGTCAACTGTGTGCAAATCTCAGTTTTTATTATATTGGTATCTCCACCAAGATGTTAGAGTCACATGGTTGTTAGGGTAATGGCAAATAGACAGGAGACCTCTGAACAAAGCTCCTGGAGGTAACAGTCTCCAGTAAGTTCATTCTTGTTAACAGAATATGGACAAGGAGTCTTTGGCGAGAGAATCAACTTTTACCAACCCAACCTCCAGTGGCAAGCATGCTGAGGCCAAACTGATCAGTATAGTGGAGGAACCCATAATGAAGAGACCTGAGATAAATTAGAGTAAAATTCAAGGCAGAGGGAAGAAAGCAGATATACATTACAAGCTGTAGTTTAGACAGAAAGCCCAGACCTTCTTTTCCAGGCCTGCCTGCTTCTTCACAACTCACCTTTGGATCAGACTTAAAGCACATGAGAGTTCGTTCTCCAAGTGGAAGTTTAGCTATATCAAAACGCACAGTGAAGAGTTGATCATCCTGAGTAACACGGTCTTGATCATAGACGCCCAGCTCCAGCACATTCTAGAAGAGAGGTGAAAGATTTGATGCTAAGATCAGTTTGATGCTAAGGTATTAATATAGGCTTGTATATGAATCATAACATTTCCAATCAGGAAATGCTTGGGGTTTTAACCTTATCTTTAGATTTGTCAAGTTTTCAAAATTTTTTTTGAATAACTGCAATGACCTGAAAGTTAGCAATCAATATAGTAATAAATCAATATTTTTGTAAGCATTCAAAACCACCAATATATGAAAGCTCTCTGGAGATTTTTTTTTCTGACAGAATATTTTCTGGATAAAAGAACAATTCACTTACAGTTGGCAGAAAAGTGGTTAAAGGAAAAGTGTAAAATTATGTGGTATTAGTGGTTGCTCTGTAACATCTTTTTTTGGTTCCAGTACAACCAGCTCTCCCCACATACTCAGCTTGATATTTGATCAACTGTAATCAGCACAATAAACCAATTCAGACTTCAGTTTTTTGGCTGAATAGGGCTTCCTATTGTGAATCACTCAAATGAAAGGGCAAGCTATGAGGAATAGGGGTGTGCAAAACAGGCCATATTCAATTTGGATGTGGCCTGAATCGGGGACAGTGATTCGATCTGTTGATTTGGGTCACTGTCCCTGATTTGATTTGGCTGAATCTGAAGATTTGATGCTGATTCGGAGAATCAGTGATTCAGCCATAGACAAAGCTTTAAATCTTTTCTACGTACCTCGAGGTACTAGGTGCAGCTCGTGAATACTGCGATGGTGGGGTGGATGGTGCATCCCACAGGAGCACAGCAGGGGTGGAGGGTGCATGCTTGGCGTCAAACCTGGAATTGGACTGGAAGTACCCCAGAAGTGGACAGGAGATGCTTTGGCCCACTTCTGGGTCTGCTGCTGAGCACGCTGGGGAGCCCCCACTGGGATTCTCCATCCACCCCAGCATTGCAGCATTCACAAGCCACCTGGTACCTTCAGGTATGTAGAAAAAACATTTAAAGTTGTGTCTATGTCCGAATCGCTGAATCAATTTGGAGGGTTTGGATTCGATTCGAACAGATTAAAGCTTCTCCTGATTAGATTCAGACTTGGTTACCAAATCGGGCCCTAATGAGGAATCTCAATATTTTAAATGCTTTCAAAAATATGCCAGGTACTCAGCAAGGGCAGATCCAGGGGAGTGGAGCAGTGTAGTTGCATCCTTCTTTGGCTGTGCTGCACATGGGCAGTGAGCTCAAAGGTCACCATCTGGTCAGCATGGGCTCCTGGCAGACCTCCACAGGTACAGTGAGCTCTATGAGCTCACCAGCTGATTGGATCAAGCTCTGGCTAGAGCACTGCTTTTTCACAGCTCAACAGCCCAGGGGGTCAGTGCTTCTGCTGTTCACCCTTTCCTTCCCTTCCCCACAGCTAAATTCAGCATCAGAAGAAAGAGGAGAAGCGTGGTGGCAGTGCTCACTGCCTGGGCTCTGGAGCTGCAAAAAAGCGGTGGCTCTAGCTAAAGCTCACACCAATTAGCTAGTGAGCTCAAAGTTCATGCATGGCACAACGAAAAGGGGGTGCAGCCATACCCCCTCCCCCCACCCCACTCATGGATTCACTGCTGGTAACCAGTAGATTAAAAAAAAAAAAAAATCATAAAAATGTTATTTTGCCAGAAAATGAAGTTTCTGCAAAATGGAAACCGTTGGCAGGAAAACAATTGATTTTGGCCTATTTTTCCCTTAAGAGAATTTAAATATGGTACTAGATTATATTTACCTTTCATATACCTAGATGGCCTATATACAGTTAGGTAACAGCAATGTTCAGCATTTATGCACAGTTTGGGACTGTTTTTTATCCTATTGGTATACTTGCCAGAAATGTGATAGACAACCTCCTGCCTTTTAGCTCAGGTGCCATGAGTCATGTTGTTGCTGGATTAACATTTCAGGGTTTACCTGGCCTTACACGTGTACCTGGGCAATTTTATTTCCCTTGGGCAAGTATGCAGATGGAGTACAACCCTATCAAGCCTGCTCAGTAGGTTAATGCAAGTGATGCTAAATTGCTCAGTCTTTAAGCACAAAAAAATGTAGTTACATGACTATGTACATGCCCTTAAGTGCATAAATGGTGCAGGGCCCATTAGTTGGGCCCCAACCTAAATTGTTTTGTTTCACTTTGTCTGGACCTGAATGATAATGTTTCCTTTCAGGTAAGCTCAGTCATCTGTGCTTGCCTCCATGGCTGCAGAGCCTCATGTGACTTGTAGCTGAGCACTTCAGACCTTTGTTTATCTCCATGGCCCTGGCTCTTGGGCTAGATAGCGACTTCCATGATGTCTTGTGGTCACCCAGGTTGGGCTAGTACAGACTATCGTGGGACCATTATCCAATTGGGGATAATGGTCTATAGATGGGAATGGAAACATAAGGTACCTGAGCTAGAACAAATTAGAATAAAATATTTCAATTTGGGAATGTTCCATTTGGACCCTTCTGAACCAACATTTTTTAGAATTCTCCATCTGTAAAAAAAAAAAATAAAAAATTCAAAAATGTTGACCTAGTGTCATGATTTGGGATGAAAACAAACTTCAAGACACTGAAGTGACTTGACAGGATGCTGTAAGATGTCAAAACAACAACAACAAAAAAACCCAACCAAAAAACACCAAACCACTTTACCAGAAGAAGCAGCGTGTTGGCTCAACCCAGATCTACTGCATCTGTATAGATTAGGTGCTTCAGCAGCGCTTTTTGGCACTTTTATCTAAAGCTTATTCAATCAGTTATTTAATAAAAGCGCCAAAAAAGCCCCACTAATGTGCCCAATCTATATAGATGTTAGACGAGCCGGGTCCAACTAATGCAATGCCTTTTCAGGGCATGTGCTGGGTTTGGCACAGGAGTGCTCTGAGTTTAAAGCAAAGCACCATTTTTGAATGTCTGTAAGCAGCTGCAGATTCCAATAAATTCAGAAAAATAACAGCTTCTTTATTTGAAAAAATAATGGTTCTAATGTTCCAAACAAGCAGTATTCTAAAGAAGAGAAAGTGAGGGCCCAAAGAAGTGTTATTCGTGGTATTTTAATCATCTGGGGTATTAAATAATTAGCTGCAGAAGACTTAAAATACCTACTTCCCATATAGCTAAAGATTTCCAGACTGCTGGAAGTAGGCCGCTCTTAGTTTCATACCTTGATCTGACTCTGGATCCTGTAATAGAAAGTTTCATTCCAAACTGGGTTTTTGCAGTTATCGATGGTCTTGGTCCTAGCTTTTTCACCTGAAGCAGTTGGCAACCATAGGGTCACATAACAATCAGGCTGGCTTACTGTATGAGAAGAGATACCATGCAGCAGTTAAAGTAGGAATGTACCTTGTGCTAAATGGCAAAGGAAAAATGAATGCACCATGCTACAATGAACCTTTTTTGGGGAGGGTTCCAACCTACGGTGAGTTATAATTGCCCAATGTATCAGGCCAAGAGGGAGAGGGGTAGATACTAATATAGGTAACAAATTAGGTGGTCTTGATTCTTCCTTGTATAAATTCCAGAAGAGAGACAAACATGTTGTTTTTCACAATTAAATAAACAGGAGAAATATTTTCACCTCTTTGAATAGTTTCTTAATCTCCAAAGCCGATCCATCCAACACACACATTTGCTGTTCTTCAGCAGTACTAGGACAAGTTGGAACTTTACCTACTCCTATTCATTGAATTTGAGGAGCAGTTTTGGGGTGGCTCCTTTTTTCTAACTTGTCCTATATGATAGAGGATAGATGGGGGTGGGTGGGTATAAGGCATATCTGCAACTATCCCTACTGCTGAAGATTTCCTTCTCTTACCTGCACACAAACTCTTTGACCAAGAGATTCAGAATTCTTAAAAACTAGACCTTAGAAATGGTGTGGGGGTAGACACATGACCTCAAAAAAGACTATGAGAAGGGAGTGGGAAAAGGACAGCCTATCCCATTTCTTAATGCATGGCTTTTATACTACAAAAGTCTCTATAATTCACCCCCAGAGAAGGTCTGTCCTGTGCAAAGAATGAGGAAGAAGTCCTATTAACAATCTTTTGTGATCACATAATTCAAGATGTTATCACACATATATAGGCCAAAGAGGTCCAAATTTAAAGTTATGCAAGCAACCACCTGAATTTTAGCACAGCCTAACTTCTGCATGTTTGATTTTGCAATCTTAAGGTTCTGTTAGGGTAATTGTCTCTGTCTCTTCTCTTAAGTATTGATTATTTATTAGACCCTATACTTATTTCAATGAAATAAATACTTTGTTTTGTTTGATAGGATTTACCTTGGGTCAAATACACATCTGAGTCAGTTTGTATTTCAACTGTACCTTATAAGACTATCATTAAGGTACCCTTACAATATATGGAGTAGGTGTCAGCTGACTAGCAAGCTTTGCATTTATATAATTTGGCCCTGCCTGCGCAACCTTTCTACAACTTCAGTATTTGTGATTTTATCTTGTCATTTGGCTTGCACAACAGCTTAAAAGAGTTCTTAATGAAACCCTTCTGGCACACCAGCATATATGGTCGGGAACCATAAACACAGAGAAGAGCATATAAGATGTGCCTAATAAATTTTCTACCCAGTGTTGTGACCTAGGTCGATGTGATTTGTATACCTTCTCTCACACAGGTATAAATATAAAAAGTGTATATTGATATGCTTCCCACAAAAACTTAATCATAACTATAAGGTAAGATAGTAGCTGCTACTAAATGGTGAACACCTGAGCTTGTTTTTTCGTTTTGTTTTTCTGTGATATCAGGCTGGTTCCAGACGCACGCACATGCGCGCGCGTGCGTGCGTGCATACACACATCTGGAACCAGCATGATGCATATACATTTATATGATATTGGTAATAATTAATTTCTTGGTCAATGAGACCAGTGTTTGATAAGGCTTCTCTTTCATAAGGGTAATGCATCACTCACAGGGGGTTTGACAATATGAATACTGTGTTAGGATTTACTTAACATTGTAGAGACCATAAAGATGCAGTTCTAACATTGTAGAAATACAGCTTGGAATTACATTTACTATTAACCTTGTGAAAGTTGTCAGTTACATTTGGGAGCATCCTGTAAAGCACACAATCTGCATGGCTTGGGTAGTAATCAGTCTCCTGTTAACTACACAGATCACATTGTGGCAGTGAAGTCTGATTTTTTTCTATGTGTTTGTAATTTCTGTTCAGTAATCCATGGCAAATCCTCTCATACTGCAGTTTAGGATGAAATGACTACTAAATGAGATCCAAGCTCTATACAATTTTGGTTCTAAACCTGTAACCAACACACTGGAAAATGGCCACACCATTATCAGATAGCTAGATAAAAGGACTGGTCATTTAGCAACCTTTATACAAATGGATGTTAGGGGATGATATGAGTATTAGCCTAGGATAACAGATGAAAAAAATAGTTTTGCTATTAATTTAACGTGCAACAGAATCAAGATGAAAGGGCTAAAAACTAAGGTAAAAATAGAATGACTTTCTGATAACTTCACATATAACAACTCAATGTAAATAGAGATACAAAGAACAGGCAAAGCCTGAAGTCACATACAAACTTAAATGATGTAAAATCAGATGTCCTTGACCTAGATTTTCAAAAGTCTCTGTTGTTTTTAGGTGCTTTCATTCTTCAGCATCCTTCTGGAGAGATCCAGATTTTCAAAAGCACTATGCAACTTCATTGCGGCAGCTGTGGGTGCTTTGCACCTCCAAAAAAACACATCACAAGATGTCTCAAGTTGGGCACCAAAAACTAGGCCTACTTTTGAAAACATGGTGTCCTTGCTATACTTAAGATACATCGATGACATCTTCATCATTTGGACTGAGAACCTGCAATCTCTGATTGAGTTCCATCAGAAATTCAACAATCACCATCCCTCCATCCGACTTTCTTTAGAATACTCCAGCACCAACATCCCCTTTTTAGACACAATGATCAGTATCCAGAAGGGTAAAATACAGACCACAGTATACAAGAAACCCACAGACCAACATACATATCTGCACAGAACCAGCAATCACCCTAAACACACCAAAAAAGCTGTGATATACAGCCAAGCCCTCAGATACCACCACAT